GCTTAGAAATTAAGTGTTAACGAGCAGTTGGACAGGTGTACCTAATAAAGTGGCCGATGACATATAGCAATATTTCATTAGTAAAAGAGATTGATATGGTGTTTTTAAATGGCAATATATCAGCATATGAAGATATTGGGATATTTTAATGGATCAATATTTTTTCCCTCGTCTTTAGAAGTTTTTAAGTCTGTAAAAAAGAAGTTTTTGAGGAAGAAATAGAAAGTAGTAATTTTTTTTTAGACTTTAGAAACTCAGAGCATTGTCCAGAGATGCTCTGATGACGTCCTGGTTTTAGATCTCAGTGCAGATGAGAGTAGAACAAAAGTGGGGAATACCAGGTTTTTGATGGCATTTCAGAGGGATAAAAGGAGGAATAGAGGAAAGTCTGGCACCTCCTATAGGTGGAAGATAAAAGTACCAGGTTAAAGGATTGGAATCGGAGCGTTTAGGCTGCTGCAGGATGCCAGATACTCGCCAACATGAGTGAATGTAGCTTTTTCCTGAATCTGGCAACCCTGAGAGTTGAGCTCATTTATCCATATATCCATCTTCTGTCTATCTGATGACCGTAGACTGAGAGTCAGACCGCTGACAGACCCATGAAGGTCTTTTTGACCGAGCTTCATTCACCGCATAGACTGACCCCCAGGTTTCCACCTCTTTCTGGTTGAAAAACACAACCTCAGCCTCAACAGCTGCCTCTCATCATCAGCAGATCCAATTCAGGACATAGATGCCAACAGAAGCCTAACAGGGATAAAAAGCCAGGAGCAATCATGGAGAGGGTAGGACGCTTCCAGAACACAATCCAGGGGCTTCAGGCAGCTGGTCAACCTGAATTCCTGCCTGATTTCCAAGCACAGAGAAGAGGAGGAACTTTTACAGTTTGAAGCAGTGAGATTCTTACTTAGCAGGAGAAACTGCAATGCAAGGTGCTCAGCCAGAAGCCTGTGGATGTTTGCCTTTTGGAGATGAAAGTAAACCACCTTCTAGAGATTTTAAGTGGTTTAGTAGATCAGCATCTATCTCATGCATAAACTGTTCAATCCAGGGAGCTGACATCATATCCCCAAAGTCGCACAGAATTAGCCCGCTGCTAACTCTGCGTCCCTTTGGCTGCAGGCAGCAGGCCTCAGCGGAGCTGGCCTCCCGCTGAGGCCCAAAGAGACCCAAGAGATGAAGCTCAACATCAAGCTCTTGTTAGTTTAGGCAAATCAGGGACATTAGAGTAAAATGTAATGTATAATAAACACAACTTCTTGGATTTTTATTTAAAAAAAAACAACATTTTCCTTATATTTGAAGATTACTTTGAGTTGATCGGCCTCAGCAGAGGCTACCTGTTCAATATTTACCCTTGGTGCAATAAAACCTACATGAACTACGGAAAAAAAAATCTTATTTACATTATATTACATATTTACTTTCATGTTATTACCTTCTTAGCTATAAACTGAATGATTTTTGGTTGAGAAAGTTTAAGATTAAAAAACATTCTATTCCAGATTGAGACATTTAAAGAAAAAAATTGTCAGTTTTAGCGTTAGGTCAACTTAATGAAGCTATGCAGCATGTTTGAAAATAATCTGCAGCTTAATTAATCCATGCAGCTTTTCCCTTGTGCCTAATATTCTGGCCAACTCTAGAGGGGGGGGGGCGTACAAAACGGACGGCAAAACATGTAGAAGAAGAAACACGGCTGTTAGCCGCTGTTTCAAACCCCCGTCACCCAATCGTGACG